GTAGGCATTTTACTGGGACTTTCGCCTATAGCATGGCATATACCAACAAATTAAGTGACTATATTTCAATCTGAGATTTTGCCTACGGGCAGGTCTATTTGTGAGCAGAATGCTGTGAAAATTTTAACTCTAAAGAGTGTTTCCTTCCTGAGATATTAAAGTCTCAAAAAAAAAACTCATATCCCACAAAAGATGCTAAAATTTTCTGTTTACCGGAACTTAAATATCTTAGAAAGGAAATATTCTTTAGAGCTGAAATTTTCAGAGCATTCTCCTTACAAATGGATGTGCTCGTGGACACAATCTCAGGTTGAAAAATCTTCATTTGATTCGTCAGTATATACCATGCCATAGGCTAAAGTGCCAGTAGAATGCCTATAGATCTGGACAGAAGGCGTGTAACAACATTTATCCTTTTAAGGTTTTTCATATCTCACTGAGATTTACCTTATGCACAGAGTCCGAACTCAAAGCGATTGAATAGTTGAAAATTTTTCCTCGTAACACAATATGTTTTTAAAGACTCAGCTTGAAATTCTGTACACAACGGTTCACTTTGTTTTGTTTTATGTACTTCTATGAAAAATATTTAATGATATCAATGGTGCAGTTGGGCTTCATGCAATAAGTCAATGGTGTAAAATGGTCAGGGAGACTGGATCTATCCAATTAATATGCCCATCAGCTTGTGCAAGATTAATTCGAACAAAGGCAAACATTTTTAGAAAAAGTGAATGGAGGGAAACGTAAAAAAACCAGTATCATCTCGAAAATTGGTCAATGAGCTCAATATTTTAAGTACAAGCGTTCAACGAATACTTAAAAATGGTCTGGGATTGCGGGCGAACAAGGAAAGAGTTGAACAATTAACTACTGAGACTCAAACAGCCAAAAGAGTCAAGTTTGAAAATTGGATACGAAATACGAACCAATTTTAGTAAAGAATAAATAATGAAAATTCTTTTTTTCGGATGAAAAAATTTTAGATTTAGATAGCGTGTATAATGCTTAAAATGACCGTATATGGGCATTTAATCGTCATTAAGTTGATAAGAATGGTACCATTGATGAAAACCAAAAATTGCCACCAAAAGTAATGGTTTGGTTAGTAGTATGTTCGAAAGATATGACACCATTGGTTATTTTGGAAGAAGGCACAGTAAATCATGATCGTAATATAAAAGAGATGTTTCCAATGGTCTCGAAATATGAAACTAAGATGTTTGATGATGATTGGACCTTTCAACAAGACGAAGCAAGGCCACATGCACATCATTTAACCCAACAATCGTGCCATGATAATCTGTCTACTTTTATTGATAAATACCATTAGGCTCCAAATTCACCTGATATTGATCACTAGGACTAGAGTCGATGTCCCTAATAACGACACTAAAAATTTATCTTATCTTGTTTGGCTCGGTGCACGACTATTTTAAACTCGATTGAAAATATTTTTACATACGCATAATCTTTGAAGTGTCCTCTTTCAAATGATGTAACAACCACCTTTCACTGAAATGTAGAAGTCAAGAAATCAGCGGTCTACGATAACGACCTGCTTCTGTCGTTATTAGGGTCTATTTCCCTAATAACGACAGTCAGCTAATTTTTGTCCCTAATAACGACACTCTGAGAAAATTAAGCGAAAAAGAGACTTTTCTAATAAAAACTATTTTTTCATGCTTTTTGTTCGGTAAACAATTAAATGTCTCGCTTGCATTTTTGTAGAGCGTGTTGAACTCTATCTAAATCCAAAGGTTCATAAAAATCCAACTGCGTCTTAATGAAATATTTAATTTGGAAAAAAATCATCTGAAACGATTTCAAAAAAAGTGTCCCTAATAACGACACCCAGCTAATTTTTGTCCCTAATAACGACACAACCACCAAAATTGGTGTATAAGCGTACATAAAACAAAAGCTATTTTGTTTTTTAATAGTCCGATGAACTCTGATTGTTTTTCACAACTTTATTCTATATTTCAAGAGAAGTCGTTTTTTCGCGCCTGAGGTCCCCCTCAGGAATTCGAAAAAATTTTTTTGTCTTCATTCCAACTGTTACATTTAAAAATCGATAGAACTCAGTGTCCTGATTCTAAATATCGTATTACTTTTGAAAATTTGTCGAACAATAAGAAAGATTTTGAGGATAAAAGATAGGCCTAAAAACCAGTTTTTTGCCTATAAGACCATTAATATTCGTCTAAAACTCATTGGAAACAGGCTCATTAGATGCAGAATTCTTTTCTCTGTCAGAATATGTGTAAAATATTCCAAGAACATTATGTTTTCCAATCGATAAATATCCAATACCGGGCCCAATGGATCCCTATAATGAT